AAAAAAAGAAAATGTTTTGGACACTTCCCCAAAGAAAATATACCAGTGGTAAAGAAGCACGGGATAAAGAATTCACCATCGCTAGTTGTCAGAGAAATGCAAAGGAACCCAGTGACTATCACTGTGCAGCCACCGGAACAACTAACATTTATTCATTTATCTTTATGAAACAGGGTCTCACTCTGCTGCCCAGGCTGGAGTACAGTGGTGCAGTCATAGCTCACTGCAGCCTCAAACTCCTGGACTCAAGGGATCCTCCAGCCTCAGCCTCCCAAAGTGCTGGGATTATGGGCGTGAGCCGAGAAGCCGAGCCTAGAATACCTAAAATTGAAAAGAATGCAAATACACAGGGTTGGTAAGGAGGTGGAGCAAATGCAGCAAGTGGAACTCTTACCCATTACTGACAAGAATACACCCGCTCTGAAAAGCAGTTTGCCGATTACCCCAGGAGGAAGTAACTGTACTTCCAGGTATTCACCGAGAGAAAGGAAGGCACAAGTCCACATAGGCTTCTACACAAATGTTGACAACAGTTTCACTCACAGTAGCTCCAAACTGAAGCAATCCAAATGTCTATCCATCAACAGGAGAATAGATAAGCAAATCAAACTATATCCACACAAAGGAATCTACTCAGAAGAGGAGTGAACTAGTGACACACACAGCATGGACAAGTCTCAGCATCTCTCTGCTGTGCGACAACAGCGGACACAAGACACGCACTGCGGGATTCCACGGACACGAAACACTGGAAAAGACAAACCTCATCTCCAGTGACATAAAGCAGGGATGAAAACGTTCTATTACTCGTCTGCAGTTGTGCCCACATGGCTGTACACGGCTCAGAACTCACTGAACTATATACTTAGTGTGAACACATTTTATTTTATATAAACTAAAGTTAATTTTTAAAATGTCAATAGATGGATAAAACAGGCAGTTGCAGCTAAAGAGAAAACAGCGAACTAGAAGATACGTTTGAGTAAATAACCCAGAATGTAACACAGAGAGACAAGACAAAAATGTGACGGACAGAAGCTAAGAGTTAGAGACATAGATAACCTAACAAGTGGGGAGGAGGACGTATTTGAAGAGAAAAGAGTTAACTTGATCTTCAATAACGAATAAATAAATTTACGGATCCAGGACCCCTGTTAAGTCACACACAGTGGCGGGGAGGGGGTGGGGGGAGTCAGCCCACCAGATGGGAAAACTCAATATAAAGCTGGAGTC